TTTAATTTTTTTTTTTTTTTTTTTTTTTTTTTTATGGACACTCAAAAATCTTTCGTAGTCATTCCGACGAATGATAACGTGGAAGAATATGGTTGTTGGGACGATTGAGAGAAAAGCGATGCAGGAGTGCTTGGATAATGAAATGAGAAAAGGGATATAATAGAGTGGTTGGGTAAAAAGTGTTGACAAAGTAAGAGAGATACGAAGACGCAGATAAAGAGAAAGAGAGATAGAGGAGTTAGCATTTTGGTCACGTCCGTGAAGACTTGTCGCGCTTTTTTGAGGACTGTGGTCAAAAGTGCAGATGAAACGTTTGCTGTATATTAATGTGTGGCTGTGAACACATTTCATTTAGGTATTACGTTATTAAGATTTAATGAAGAAAATGAAAAACACGATTGTACGAAGTAAAGAAAAAGAAAAGAAAAAAAAAACGGAATACAAAATTATTTAAGAAACAAAAAAACCAACGCTCCGTCATGAGTCGCGCGCACATTAGCAGCCCTGAAACTCGCAGTGCGCGGAAACCGGAAACCGGAAACCGATAATTAACAGTAGCTCCTGTGCTACCCTTACTATTATCACTATTTACTACCACTACTACCGTTTTACTATTTTACTACTATACTGTTGTTGCTGCTGCTGCTGCTGCTGCTGCTGCTGCTGGTACTACTCTTACTACTACCACTATTATTACACTATCACTCAATATTACGGTTAGTCTTATCGTCACTATTACCTATTACTGCAACCATAACTATTTTATGCTACAAAAAAAAATACACTACGGACTAGAAACATATTGATTTACTTTTTCCTTTGCAAGAGGGTTGCAAAAAAGCCACGACTCGTTCCTAAAAAAGAAATTCGTATTGCCACGCCGTCGATATATACATTGCCTACGTATCGCCGCGTGGTCGAGTAAACTATCGCGACCCTAGTCTCCCGTAGCGCTTGCATAACTTTCTTTATTAGATACCGTAATTATTTAATACCGCGAGCGAGAGTCAGCCTCTACATGTACATATATATATATGTGCACAGACCATTGACATATAGCATGGACTACGCACAAGCATAGAAAAACATGGTCGGCCCTGTCTCTTTCTCAGCAGCCGTAGTACGAGAGTGTAGAAAACGTAGCCAATGAGAGCATTAGAAAAGGAGAGCTACTACTGGCCGCCACCTCAGTCCCTCTTTGTCTGTTCGAGCGGACATTTTTTTTCAAAGGACTTCGAAGTAGGGTTCGCGAAGTCCATGCTATATGTCAACGGGGCATAGACGCTTACTGCCAGGTTAGCCAGCGATCTTCGGTCGGCCGGTTCGATATCGACTGGCAGCGACCCTGTTTAGTTAGTTCATTCGTACACTGGCGCATTCGCGTACTTGGTTTATTCACTTAGTCACTCAACTCTTACACTATACATATATTAGATGCACAACGTACGTAGGCATATGACACTGGCAAAATCGCTCACTCACGTATTCGCTCATTTGCTCACTCATTTCGCTGACAACACAACACGCGCTCAGTTTTCCCTTTCGGTCGCGAGCGAAAGTAAGATCTATCTAATACAAAAAGAGTCTGCAAACTGGTTTTTCTGGTATCACTTTAATGCTAAGGAGCTGGGTAAGAACGTGCCCGAGTCCGTTGTTTGTCGTGCATTTGCTGCTTTTGTACGCATTCAGCGCGTTACTCCTACAGGATAACCCATGGTTTTTTATTTTTGTTAAGAATTTCGGGTGTTTTTTTTTTTCATATTAATATTTTCATAAATTATAAAAAATATATCGTACTGATCGGTTTCAGCGGGTTGTTGGTTCCTGTTTCGTAATTTTGGGAGAATTAAAAATATATTGGTATTTCGGCTTCTGACGGGAGGATTCGAAAGTTCAACTTAAATGTTGTGTTTTCGTGATTATTGTTGCATCTTACAGTGAAAATTTATCGGAATTAAGTGAAGAATGTGATCTGCTGTTCACCACAAGCCGATCTCCTGCAGTTATCTGGTGTCACGTATTTGTATTTCTTTCATTTTTTTTTTTTTTTTCATTTAGTGTAACTTCTAGAATTGTTCGATTTTTGGAGAAAAATATATAAAACCACCTTGCATGGATTACCTTACGGTTTTTTTGTCAGTCTATTCCCCGGATGACATAAATCATATGTACCTGTAACTCATACGTGGTTATGCCATGTATATGACTAAATTTATATTATACATGTGTATACCATACATGCCGTACATAGTTAAGTCATATCGTTGACGCAAATGTCTTGTTCAGGATTTTACGTTGGTTATATAGGCCTATGATACAACACGCGAGAGAAAGGAGCCGCAAAGTCCTCTTTAACGAGCGATTGATTCTCATAGAAATACAACCGGCAATTTCGTCTTTTCGATAAACAGAGATTTCGCATTATCACGGGACTTCGAGAGAAATCACGAGAATTCAAATTTTCTTTCCCTGTTTTCTCCGTGTTTTTTTTTTTTCTGACATTTCGCTCGGAGCGCATGCGCAAGAGTCGACGAAGAACGCGAAAACGTCCCAACGATTGACACGTCAATCGCGCCGAACAAAATCCCACGCATTACGTTACGGCATTTGGGGATAATTTCCGAATATAAAATATTTCCAGAATGGCAGGAAAACCAATGTATATAACAATCATGCGTCTTATCGTTAAAAAAAAAAGTCAAATGGCTGTAAAGTTAAGAGATGGTGTTTTCGTTGAAAAAAAATTTAATTGCCGTATTTAACGTTCGATTGTAAAAATATTCATTTCTTTTCCGCGTTCTATCGTACCGGGATTACGTGGAGAATGATAAAAAATATTTTTTGCACATGACGCGAGGAACGGAGCAAGAGAGAGATTATAGCGAAGAAGGACGGTAATTAAAAAGCGAGCTGTGACGATGAAATTTGAGAATAATAAAAATATCGAAAATCTAAAATTTATCTACTTAAAAATTTTTTTACTCGCTCAATTAACGCTCACGTGCTGCGATTTTCAGGCTGCATATTAAGTACACGCATACATACCATTCAGACATAACATATAAACACATACATATACATACCCTATATATTTTATTTAGCGAAAAGAAAACGCGACGTTGTTATCACACTGCAAGTATATTATTTTAATTAGTAGCTATTTAATTATTATCCTATGAGTATGATGAAATACATTTAAATATCACGAGAAAGCGTTTTCTATGGTAAAGAAGAATACTTTGCCCCCATCCCCCTACCCCCCACATCCTTTGTACGTACGAGTGTATGAGAGAATGCCAAGAAAAAGAGAGTGAGAGGAAAAGAAAGAAAGCGAGTACGTGTCCGTGTGCGTGTTTAAGCCTTTTGTGTTTAACCTATGGAAAGAGGAGGAAAGAAGGAAACTGACAAAAATGAAGATAAAAAAAGAAGTTACGAGGAACAAACCTTCGCTGATTACACATATGTATAACGTAAACACACGAGAAGCAAACATATGTATAAGGCACACGTATATATAGCGATGGATAATCTTTATCATCATTATTTTTTTGCTGTTTCAAATTCTCCTTTAACCTCACTTTATTTCTTTCGTCTTTTGCTCCATTCGCGATAACACTCAGGGACGTATAAGCGTAACGAGGGGGCCCGATCCCGATACTCTGCTCGAATAAGATTTCTTTCTGATTTGCTCTCCTTAAGTGCTGGTCTCAGGAAATAAAGACATGACGGTTACCTAATTCATAAGTTATCTCACGTATTAAAAAGACAAAGAAAAAGGAAGAATTGCGAAGAAAATAAAACGCGAAGGAAAAAAAAAGACAAACGAAAGAAGTTTGTCCTTTTGAAAATCTAATTCGAGTCCGGACGATAAGGAACGTTACGCA